AGCTTGGCGGTGGAGCGGGGCGAGTACCTGTGTCCGCTGTGCCGGCAGTTGGCCAATTCCGTTCTGCCGCTGTCGCCGCAGTTGGGCGAGTGCTCGGCGGTTGTGCGATCCCGTCATGCTTCCACAGAAACTATACTCACAGATCTGAACACTTTCCTCAAAGAAGTACAACGAAATCCAGTACGTATACGCTTCGCGCCTTTCTTTCGCCAGAAAGCCTCCCCTCCGAAAGAGTTGAAGAACGCTCGCTAAAGTGTGCTCGTCGCTTCTTTCAGAAATCTTCGAATTTGGCTGTGGCGATGGGAAAGGCTATGGAAGACATGACAAGTTGCACGTACCTAAAATATAAGCAAAAGAACTGTAAACCTAGTCATCAAAGCTTGTTCCTCTTCGTAACCTCGGTAGCTCGAACCAATTTCGAGATCGAACTCGTGCAACGCGGCGGATCGTTGTGCGTTCCACCGCCCACCACGATACCTCTGACGCCTAAGCGCGACTGCATAGGTACGTCGGCACGTTTCAATGCCGATTCATCAATCGGTTATCTTGCGTGCGTTCGTGAATACCCGATTTGTGGGTCTGAAATGCATATTTCTCTTTCAGTCGCGCTCCTCCACGTCTTGGCGATGCACGCTCGGGTGCTAACGACGTGGCCGGTGCATCACGTGTGGCAGCAATTGTCCGGCATATCCTTGTCGGAGGAATCGGCGGCCTCGCTCGCCTTGACGCCGCACGAGAGGGAAGTCCCTCTGCTTCTGCGAGACCCGACCGCCATGCTCATTCAATTTATACTGCTATTGCCGCTGCACTTGGATCAGAGTACGTTTCAGGAATTCTACAATTATACGAATTTCTTCTCGCGTATCTGTTCGCGAGTGAGAATGTGAACTAACGCGCCGTTTCTCCCGCAGCGTATTTCTCCGGCGTGGTGAAGGTGCTGTACAACTTGCTGTACTATCAGGTGATACTACAGATAAGCTGTAATTTCTCAAGAGCGGAACGAAACACGATCTTGAAGAGAAGACGCAGCTGCGCCGCCACGCCTTCGGAGGCTTTGCTGGCCAAGATTATCGAGTGCTTTAACGAGAGCGGACTCTATTCCGGCACAGACGACGACAAGCCATCCACTTCGTCCTCCACTTCTTACGCCAGAGTGAAAACGCATTGCATCGAGCAACAAGTACGAGTCCTAGACAGAATAACATAATAATTTTAAGCACATATAATGCAAAGGCCCTATAAATTCAAGAAATATAATAGAATGGCATCAAAAGCCGTCGCAGGATGTTAAATTTTTACTTTTTCATAAAGAAATTAATAAATTAGTCCACAAGAGACAGTTAGATTGTACACCGATCTCAGATCGAGATACCTAAAGGTAATTTTTAAGTACATTGTTCTCATATATCGAGAAACTTTAACGTACTAAACTACGTATAGGAATTATTGGAGAGAAAGGATAATAATTTCAATTGCAAACTTTTTTTACGCACCTGCATTTTGTGCACATCGCAAATCTGTTCTCGATTCATTCAGATCCAGTCGCTGTGCTTGCCGTTTCTTCGGGTGGCGTCACTGCTGCGTTATCATCTGTACGAGCAACCGTTGCCGATGATCATAACCCCGCAGAGTGAGTTTGTAAGACTGGTGTACTATCTGGAGCTGGTCACAGAAGGCATGAGCTGGGATAGCTTCTACTCGACCGTGGCGTTGAATTGGCAGACACCGGAAGCAAGTGTCTCGGTGCCGCTCTTCTGGTGCGATCAGCTGCTCGCGTTCCTCACCAACTGGCAGGGCCACCTGCCAGCTCGGGGCCTGATCATGGAGCAGCATATATCGTGGCAGGTGCCGAAACTGCTTAGTCTTCCGAGGGAATACGAGAAAATCTTCACGGTAAGGTTTCAGTCGCAAAAATTCCACTTGCACTCGTGCCGAGGAAAGTGTTCGCAACACGGCTTTGGTTATTTGACCCCCCGAATTCACTTGTAATTCAAGATAAAATCCTTTTTCCAGTATTACCACGAGCGACAGTGCAGTCAGTGCCACTCGGTGCCGCAGGAAATTAGCATCTGTCTGTTGTGCGGCACCATCGTTTGTCTCAAGCAGACCTGTTGCAAGCAGATGAACGTG